CTGCAAGGCAGTGCCCACTGGATGGAAACCCAAGGAACCAGGAGATTCTGGAGATTGCTGTGAGCCATTGCATTTTCATTCCAATTATTTCTCTCCAGTGCACYGTTAACTGGCAGAAGTTGGTCCCCTTCAAGTTTTTTGACAAGCARTGTATTGTTGGAAAGGATGAAAATCAGCAGGTGCCAATTCCATCTCARTGCCCTTCCTTTCCCATCCCAGATCCTCCCATCTTCTTCATTTGCTCCTCTTAATAAGATTTTGTATATTGCTGCTGCACCTGGTTGCACACCACGGTTATGAACTTAATGTGCAAAGTTAAATGTAAACAGGATTAAAAAAAATCTCGGCAATTATAAAGCATTATAAAACTTGAAAGCATTCTCCYTCCCCCACTTTGTTAGCAGACTCTTTGCCTGTCTTGCACATCCAGCAYTGCAGTAATTTTCGGGGTAGCTTAACTTGTTCCAGACATTTCAGCCAAAAAGGAGAAGTAATTTCTGTGATAGAAGCAGCACAAGGAAATGGAAAGTATTTTCCTTTATTCAACAGGAATGGGGGAAGGAATGAAAGCAAATTTCATTAATCTAAATTCAAAAATATCAGGTGAAGTTTTGTCTCCTTAGAACCAAGGACAAACATTTCCTAATAATTCTGTGGCTTTAGAACAAGACAAAACCACAGCTATAATTGCCTTTACCTGAGCAGAATTCGACTGTCAATCTGTACTCCTTGATGGTGTGCTTCTGTTACAATCTGGCATTTTTTATTCTGAGGGCTTTAGCAGAGATGTTTAATTACCCATCTCATTTGGAGCTGAATCAGATTTGGTGCTGGAAAACATGGGCATTGTCATTGCTGTGGGATCAGAGTTTAARTTATACTTTAAGCATTCAAGAATAAAGTCAGAGTTTAAGGACAAAGAGTTTCTGTGGAGTGCTAAGATCCTCCTTAGTGCAGCTAAACAAGAGTTACTGAAATATTGTGCACTTGTGGAATCATCTGTCATCAGAACCTCAGAGTCTGTGACTCCCCTGACCTCCCGTGGGAATGATTGACTCTGAACACAGCTCACGGCCCTTCAGCTGCCCAGGGAGGAGCACCTCGCTGTCAGGAGAAGAGAGAGACTCAGAAACAGCACAACTGGGTGGAATTGAGGGGCATTTAGGACAGCTCAGGTCTAGGGGCTGCAGGCTGTAGAGGAGGGCGATCCTTTCCTTGTACTCTGCTCTCCCTGCTGCACACCAGACAATGGCATTTTGGGGTTTGTAGTTTTAGCTCTATTTCAAAGCCTTCTAAGAGAAGCAGACATTGCTCAAGAATACAGATAATTGTCAGGAAGTCGAAGTTTCGGCTGCCAGGAGGAACAGCTTGGCCTGAAGGTACCTGGTGGCTGCTGTGGGTGCGGTGTCCCAGGGGCAGCTCCC